ACCACAGCTAATAACTACCTCTATAGCTATATTTTGCCACACCCTTAGAATGGGGGGGTGAATATTGTTAGAAAAATATTTTAATGAAGTACAACTTTTAAAAAAAATTACAATTATAGTGTTACAAATATTGTACATTCCTAATTTAGGAATATGTTGCAAATATTAATACAAGGAGGAAATGTTGCAACTTTTGAATGGTGGTGTTGTTTTGTGGTGGTGGTGAATTGAGTGGTTTGAATGGTGGTGGTGTTTTTTTAGAAGCGGTGGTGCTTTTTTAGAAGTGGTGGTGCTATGGGTGGTTCAAATGGTGTTGTTTTGTGGTGGTGGTGAATGATTAGGTAATTTCATATTTAAGAGGTGGTGGTGTTTAGTTGGTGTCTATAGATTTAGGTGGTGGTGCTTTTATATTAGGGTGATGATGGTGGTTGGTTAGTGTGTGGACTGTGAAGTGGGTGGTCGTCGCCAATGTGGTGTTGCGATACTTGTGATGGTGGCAAACTGGTGGAAGATAATGGAGGGGGTGGTGATAGGAAGCATTAACAAAACTTTGATTTCTTAAATCACGTGCCTTCCCTCAATTTATACTATATTACATTGCATTGGAATTGTGCACACAAAAAATGTCGCAACTAAGAAAAGCTAAGAATATGTAATAGATTAACCTTAGGAAGGGAAATTTGGGGAAGTTTAGATGGTTTTAGGTTGGTAGTCCTTACTCCTTAGTATATGCATTAGGGGATAGTATATGTATTAGGCTTTATGTGAATTATAAGGAAAAATGTTGAGAGTAGTAACCTCAAGTTACTAGGAGAGTGATAACCTAAAGTTATCAAGAGAGTCATAGCCTTAAACTATTAATCTATCCTTTTGTATCCAATTTCAGCCATTATTAATCAAAGTATCAAGCTTTTATAATCTCTTAATTAGTCTTTTAATCAGAAAATACTATGTCAATCCATAACAGAATATATAGTATTAAAACAAGGAATTACTGTTATTAAAAACGAGAAGAATAATACTTTATTTTAGTAAAAAAAAAAAGTTGGAATCTTTACCCCAAGAAAAGAACATGAGATTTGACCAGATTGTTGAGGCTCCACATAACATTTTGGCTCCAGAATCACTGTATGACATCAAAAGCCCTTTTACCACTTAATATCATGTCATCAAAACTATTGAAATCTTAGTTCAATTGTCATCAAAACTACATACCTTTAGCCTTTGAGGTAAGCTTGGGCGGCAAGCTTCACCAATCGAATCAGGATATCATGTTCACAAACAGATTAAGTGATATTAATACGTAAATTACAAGGAGATGCTTCTATCAAAATTTTTATAATAAAATATAATAAAACTACAAGGAGATGCTTCAACATATAAATAAATATAATGAGAGCCAAGGCTAAAAAAGAAATATGAACTAATATAGGCTCTTAGAGCATGTTAATCAGACAGTCAAAAGATTCCCGTGTCATTTCGTAATATTTCAACTTTACAAAATAGTTTCAAAGATTTTTTTTTCTAAAAAGTAAATGAAAAATTAATAAAAGTAAAAACTTCCTTTAAATAAAATGGAAAAAACATATATATATATATATATATATATATATATATTTATATAAGCACCCAAATCTCAAATTATCCGTTCATACAAAAGCTCTCCTGCAAGTCTGCAATTATTCGACAATGTACTGTTCATTTTACATCTCTAATGAAATTTCTTGTCAACTTAAGGATTTCATCATACCATAACCTACCCAAATTATTGGGCATAATTTCAGAAGTACTTCTCAATTCCTATGCTTTAGTGCTAACAGGGGAGGATGCAAATTGTATGACTACACACACTTTGTCATGTATCTTTCAAAGACAATATATTCATGTGACTACTTTTGCCAAAATTAAGGGGTTACACTTAGGGGTGTTAACGAGCCAATCCTGCTCGTGAACTGTGCACAGCTCGGTCAAAGCTCGGCTCAAGCGGGCTCGACTTGAATTGGAGTTCAGTTCGACGTCTTAACAAGCCAAGCCTGAGCCAGCTCAAAAGCTCGTGAACAAGCTCGAATATTTTTTTTATATTAACATTTTATTGTATATATTTAAAAAAAAATATAACAAAAAAAAAAAAATACTATTTAGACTTTTTTGCCTACGTATTTCCCAATTCCTATATTGGGCCTCATTTTCATTTATAGATTTACCCTCCATTATACACATCTTAATATACTACCTTCAAGTTTCAACCCAAGCCAGAGATTGGCGTAGGTCACTTTTTGGAGTAAAAAGAAAGAACAAAGTAAGATACTAATATTTATTTTTTCTATTTCTTTTATATGTTCCTTTTCTATTTATAATGTGCAAATTGTATATTTAACTTCATTATAATTTCATAAACTCTCCTATGTAGAATGTTTATGAAGATGAGCCAAAGGAAATCACTCTTCTAATTCCTTAGGTTAGTTTTCGATAACTTTTTCTCCTTATACTATATTATAAAAATATATATTGACTACTCTTAGTCTCTTACATATTGTGCAGGTATTTGGGAATCAATATTGAAAGACCAACAAAATATGGCAACAAAGAGGCGCTACTGCATGCTACTATTATTTATTATCGAGAGTGTGAAACCATTAACTTTATAAATTCTGTAATATTCATGTAGTAGTTTGTACCTAATTTTGCTACCTATAAGTATTTATTGATTAGCTGTTGTACTTTGATTGCTAAAAATATTATTTTGTGCTTCACAATTGTATGTCTAATTCTTATAAGTTGATTAAATTAAAACAAGTTAAATTCTGTGTAAATAGGTAAAATTGAGACTAATTCAAGCTTTTAATCACGTCCTAAATTTGAGCTCGAGCCGAGCCTTGAGTTGGGCTTGAGCTCGGACCACGCCCAAGCCGATCTCGAGCTCGAGCCAAGCCCTTGTATACATGTTTCGAGCTCGAGCCGAGCTCAATATCTCAGACTTTTAACATTGTCGAGCTCGAGCCGAGCCTAGAGATGTTCGGTCTCCGCTCGGCTCGTTAACACCCGTAGTTACACTAGCACAAACAAACTAATCAGCCAACCAAATAGGAGTAAAAAACAGACTGCTTAACCAAATGTTAGTGCATATGTAATATAGTATCAAACTCTCTTTACCACTGTATGTTGGCCCCACCAGGCTTCAAGCCAAGTACCGCATCTTCAAGCTCAGATATAAGCAGCTCATACATCGGTACACTCTTGAAAAGAGATAGAAAATAAATGTCAATAAAAAAAACAATGCAAAGGGAAAAAGGGAGAAAAACAAAGCAGAAATAAAGGTAAGAGACGTTGAAGTTCCTATATCATTACTCCAAACATATTAGAAGAGCTTTTGTCACAAAGTTTAGGTTTCTGAAAGCACTAACACTAGTCTCTAGTACTCACAAGCACTTCCAAGTGACTAAATTATATTGTAGATAACTCCAATTGTCATTCAATTCCTTCTTGATCTTTAAGAGTTCCTCTTTTATTTTTAGAAATGGGTTGCTGCAATGGCTTCCACGTTGCGGGTAGACATTTGATACTTATCCATCTTAAAGGTATTATCCATGTCATTATCCATGTGGCACCTAGTCATAAAACTCATTATGACATAAGAGTGACATATCATCACCATCTTTTTCTTTTTAGATTTAACAATATTGTAGATTTTTCATATAAAATCTTCGATTAAAAGCAAAATTATAAGATGAGGGTGTATCATTTAAGAGGATTTGGTATGTAATACGAAAACCAAGTACCGCATCGATAAGGAGGCTTGAAGAGTACGTAGCAAAGAGAGAAGGTGAGAGATGATCGACAAAAGCAAGCTTGGACAAGGGTGGTTGAAAGCGATAAATGTTAAAGAAGAATGGAGAAAGGATCTATGTATATAGCTCATGCGATAATGTCTATATGACCCTAATATATATACTCTCTCCGTCTTTAAATACTTGCTCCACTTTTCATTTCCGACCGTTTTTAAATACTTGCTTCATTTCCTAATCTGGAAAGCTTTTACTATATTTAATTCATTTCAATCAGCTAGTAGACCCAACATAAATTATATTTTATTAATTTCATATTCTCTCTCCTCCAATTTTCTCCTAAAATTTGATTGCGGGTGAGTAGGTCGTTGGTGTACTACCCTAATCAAATTAGAAATTTATAAACCTAAACTTATACTAAACTAGTTAGTGGCAAGTAAAGCGTCGAACCACGAAGACTTAGTGTATCAATCTATGCTAATTAGACTACTAGGAAAGGTTATGATATAAGAGACATACCACTAAACACTACTTAGAGCAAACAACTTAAACTAGGGAAAGTACAATTAACTCACTCTCGCACAATCAAGCATGTCAATTATCCTATTAAGCTAATTCACTCCCGTGCAACTAACCTAACATAGGTATGGAAGAATTTAGACTCTCAACCAACTCACTTCCGCACAATTGATTTGAAAGCACAATTAAGAACATAGAATCAATTAACAAGAAAGATTTTAATCCATATAAGCATCATCCATACACAATAATCAAGAACTAATTTCATACTAAGCACAATCAATTATTCAATTAACTACGTTTGCTTTTCACAATTTTTAATTTTTCCACCTACCTCACTACCTCCATATTTATTACTTTATCCAGTTTCTCATAAAACTCCGCGCATGGAGAAATGGAGCAAGTATTGTTGTTGTTGTAACATCTTTGATAAAATACTAAATTTGCTATGTTACTCGAACTTGGCTAAAAGGCCGCCGAACCTATGCTGACAAAAATCACACAACTAACGCGGATTTGGACACCCACGATTCGTGTGTTGGATTCGGTAAGAACCCTAAACCTTCAAAATTCTACGCCATAATTATGAAAGAAAAAAGGGATGCTTTACCATTTCTTGTTTTTCTCTCACTTACTACACTCTTTTTTTATTCACGTGACTTTTAAAAACATAAGAATTTTAATTACCATTTCTTTTTTTTAGGGGGTGTTTGGTATGGGTTTTTGATAGAGTTGGAAACGGAATCTGTTACCGTTTCCTGTACATTGTGTTTGTTTAATGGGTAAAGAAACAAAAACCGTTTCTTGGCTCTAACCCTTTCCATCATTTTGTTTCCAGAGGAAAGCAAAGGGAAACAAATACCTTTCCTTACTGTAACAAAAGAAAACAAAGTTTTCTCTCTCCTCTCTCCTCTCATCCAACCCTTCTCCTGAGAATTCCCAACCTCCTTCGACATTTTTTCTGAAAATTTTCCTATGAAAATTGCAATTCTCCTGATTTCGCTGCAAAATTTTCAATTTTCTACCTAAAATCTACAGAAATCTACAATCTCAAGTACGACAAATTCTTTAATTTCGCTTATTCAATTACTAGGGTTTATATGATATCAATTTCGCTTTCTGATTTGAATTCCTTATTTGCTTGTTCGATTGAAGTTTTCTCTTCTCTTTCGTTGATATTTTGTTGAATTTGATTGTATATATTACTATTATTGCATGTAATTGTTGGCTATTTTGTGGTTTCCCCAATTTGATGGTATATATTGCTATTATTGCTTGTAATTGTTGGTTATTATTGCCTGTAATTGCTTTGACATGAGTAGAATACAATCGCCATGACACGTGAAATCGAATAAATGCAAGTTTTGAACTTATGATACTTGGAACTTTGGAAGGGGTTTTGAAGCAGAACTTTCCTTGTCATCATAAACTGATTGCTGAGGAACTTAGGTAGTGGCCAATCTTGAATGGCTTTTATCGTCTTAGGTTGAAGGCAGTTAGTCTCTGAATACTACATGAAGGGTAATTTGTATTCATATTTTTATTTTCTCCATTATATTATTGATTTGCTGCCAAAATAGTAATAATGATTTGGTTATTATAAATTTTGAGACATTGTAATTTGTTTAGATGATTCCAACAATCTTGAGCAATTGGGTTGATGTATATTGTATAATGTTCATGTGGATGTATTGGATGTGTTGTATTAGCTCTAATCCTTTGGTAGCTTATTCCCATCAAGTAGTTTGTCTCTAGACTGCCTTGAATCTGCTGCTCTTTTTTTTTTTTTTTCTGAAGACTGTAATGCAAAACTGAATGCTATTGAAGGCCAATCTATAGTTTTGCTGCTAGACAGTTCATATGAGCAGAGAGCTTAGTCAGAATCTGATTTCCAACTCTGAATAAGGAGTTTATTATTTTGATGTTATTTGTGGTACTAGTGTATATTGATACTATTGTATATTTTTTTGGACTAGTTTTTCAAGATTTCTACAATGCCCCGACTTATGCGTTCCACAAGGAAGAAAAAGCTAAAACAAATACAACTAGTTATTTCAATGATTATTATTATTTTGATGATGTATTGGATGTGGCATATGATGTGTTTTGTTACAATAAAGGGTGTTCAATTGAAAGAAAGAAAAAGAAACAAAAAGTTGCTACGAATGTTAGTTTTGAGAGGGCTTTATAAAGAGAGTGATGTGAAATGCAAGAGTGAGCTTCGCGTTAATAGAAGAACTTTCAATATTATTTGTGAGATGCTTAGAGACATTGGGGGTTTGAGTGGAACAAAAAATATGTCACTTCAAGAGATCGTAGCCATGTTTTTATACACGTTGGCTCACCATAAGAAGAATAGGTCTATTGGACAATATTTCTTTAGAAGTGGAGAAACCGTGAGCCGACAATTTTACCTTTGTCTAAGGGCTCTTCTCAAATTACATGAAGTATTACTTTACAATCCCACACCAATATTGGATGATTGTGAAGATGAAAGGTGGAAATTTTTCAAGGTATTGGTCTTTTTTAAGCCCCTAAATTTTGCTAGGATTTTCTTATTTTTGATTGTATGTAAGTAATATTTTTTCTTATTTTTGTAGAATTGTTTAGGGCCATTAGATGGGACTTACATTAATGTAAATGTGCCTTCACAAGAACGACCAAAGTATAGAACAAGAAAAGGAACAATTGCTATGAATGTATTGGGTGTTTGTGCACCCAATTTGCAATTTATTTATGTTCTTCCTGGTTGGGAAGGTTCGGCCCATGATATGCGTGTACTTCGCAATGCTCTCTCTAGACCAAACGGTTTTAGGGTAACTCGAGGTAAGTGAAGCTCATTCTTTTGTGAATGTATAAGTTTTGTTAGTTTTGGTAGGTAGTAATCCTTTCCTTTAATAACTTTGAAGGTAATTATTATTTGGTTGATGCGGGATATACAAATTGTGAGGGTTTTCTTGCTCCATATAGAGGTCAAAGATACCATTTAAAAGAATGGACGGAACGACAACCCGAAAAAGCCGAGGAGTTCTATAACATGAAACATGCTAGGGCGCCAAATGTGATTGAGAGATGTTTTGGCCTACTTAAAGGAAGATGGAGTATTCTTAGAAGTCCTTCATTTTTCCCTATAAGAACTCATGGACGTATCGTGATGGCTTGTTGCTTATTGCATAATCTACTTAGAAAATTCATGCCTACCGATGATATAAACGAAGATGAATTGAATGAATCCGATGATGATTCCGAAAGTGATTCCGATGATGAAAGGGAATTTATTACAAGTGTTGCTACTTCAGATCATTTGACCAATTTTAGAAACAAATTAGCCCAAGATATGTTTAATGATTGGAGGGCGAGAGGTAGACATGGTCAATAGCAAAAAATGTATGATTTTTTTTTACCTTCGATTATATTATATATATAGATGCATTTTTTTTTTGTTTTTGTGCATTTTGAAGCCACTGCCAATTTGAATCTGCCTTTTTGTTCTGTTCATTTCTAATCTCCCTTATGTTCTGTTTATTTCTAATTTGTCTTCTATTATTTCTAATCTGTGTTATGTTATTTCTAATTTGCTTAGGATGGAGGCTAGCAATCGAGGAAGAGGTAAAAATAAAAGGTATTGGACGTATGAAGAAGATGCGGTTCTAATAAGATATTTGCATGAGTTGAGTTGCGATCCGAAGTGGAAGTGTGAGAATGGGTTTAAGAATGGTTACATGAATAAGTTGGAAGAGATGATCAATGGTGTACTTCCTAATTGTGGCTTGAGAGCGGTTCCCCACATTGAGTCGAGGATCAAGCATTGGTCGGAGAAATATAGTGCATTTGCAGAAATGTTATCCACCTCAGGATTTGGATGGGATGCTGAAAAGAAATTGTTGCAAGTAGACAAGGTCGTGTACGATGAATGGGGTGAAGGTATGAACTGCTATTTCATTCCTCTTTGTTCATTTTTTTCAATTACACTTTAGAACTGCTGCTGGACAGTTCATATGACCTGAGAGAATTGCTGCTCATAGTGAATATGAGAGAAGTAGGGAGAGAAGCAGTGTGTGTAAGGGAAGGGGGCAGGGAGGGGAATAGGTGATAGGGGAGGGGATAACTGATAGTTCAGGTTCTCGAAGTCCATCTTCACTGATTTGAGTTTTTGAGTTACCTTGAACATAGCAGTCCCTTGTCTAGTTTGCACCCATGAATCCTCCACAACTTTACTGAAACTAGCATATTCAGCCCAAACATTGAAGAAGTTGATTTATTAATTTACTGTTTTAAGTTGATTTTATGATTTTGCAATTCTGAGTTGTTTGAAACAGATTGGTTCACAATGTGATTAACAACTTTGTCAAAGTTTGGTTGGGATTTATTCATTGTAGATGGAGTAATTGTATCTTGTTGATGATCACTTGACGGTGTGATTCTATTACTTTTTTTTTATAAGCTGTATTTATTTTAAAATTATTAAGCTGTCTTTGTTTTTGAATTTTTAGTTTTTGCAGCGATATGGGAATATGTAGAATAAGCAGAAAGTTTATATCTCAGAATCTAGTATGTACTGCTGCTGAAGCACTCTGCTACAGTATGTGTGGTTATAGTTGCTTGGTTCAATTCTGATTTTCATGTTTTGACTTGTTGCATTCTCTTATATGGCAGACTCATGAGAAAGCTAAAGGGTTGTTTGGAGTTCCATTCATTCACTATGAAACTCTTGCGGAGATATACGCAAAAGACAAAGCTACCGGAGATGCAAGTGAGTCGTTTGTTGATGCTATAGAAGAAATGGATCAAGAGATTGATAAGCAACCATTCAATGTCCAGAGTGATGAAGAAGATGATGTGAATTCTACTCATTCGGACACTTATTCTTCTACAAGTCAATCCGGAAAACGCCCCATGAAGATAGAGGATGATCATATAACTCCTTCAAAAATGGCAAAAGTGAAGGCTTCTACAATTCATTCTTCCGCAAGTGATTCTACTACTCAATCCGGAAAACCCTCTATAAAGGCAAAGGAGACTAAGGTGAAAGGAAAGAACAAGGTAAATTTGAAGAGTTTGTGTAGGAATGATGATGATGATTTGGTGTCCTCCCTCCGTGATTGTTCCAACAATTTTGGGAAGATATTTGAAAATATCAATGTTAATCTCGGGACTATGGCTAGTGCATGGTCTAAAGCGGAAGAAAGGGAGCAAAGGATGGATGAAAAGGTGAACAAGGTATTGGACGAGGTGATGAAGTTAGATGGCATTTCTCCATCCGAAGCTTTAGAGGTTGCTACTATTCTCATGGCGGAAGAACATAAGCTTCGCATCTTCTATCAAGCACCATTAAATATGAAAAAACAATATGCAATTGATCTTCTTAAGAAGTAACAACTTGAGCAATGTCTTTGTTTTTTTGTTAAACATATGCAACTTGAGCAATATAGGTTATGTCTTAGGATTATTCATATGATGATTGACATATTATTAGTCAATGTTTGGATAATTAATGAGTTCCAACTTTGCTTTATATATTTATATGCAATACAAGTTATTTATTTATTTTTATCTTTTTTTTTTACCGTAAAATATGTAGCATAGACAATATTGTATTATTCTTTCTTATTTTTCATTTCCGTTTGTTATACCAAACAAGAGGAAATGGAATGGTGATAACTGCTTCCGTTTCCTTTGATGTACCAAACAACTAGTAAGGGTAACACTATTTGTTACCCTTTCCCCTCCTAATTTATTTCCATTCCGTTTCCTATACTAACTCCATACCAAACACCCCCTTAATTCAGTTGTTGACCACAATTTCCTTTTCAATTTTCATTTTTCATTTCCTTTGGCCACATGATAATCTAATCGATTTTCTCACCTCTTTTAATTCTTTTTTTCACACATATTTACAGTATTTATTGGCTATTTTTCTAGTCAAGTAGGTTTTTACATTGTTTTTTTATAACTACTTGGCTTTAGCACCTACTTAACAATTTTACTAATAGGAAGGTTTTTTTGCTAAATATTTATCTTGGATTTAAATGTCATTAAAAAACTCTATTTACCGCTATCGTATTTCACTAAACATTTTATCATAGGCCAAAGATTATACTTCCTCAGTTTGTTTTTGTATTATTATTATTATTATTATTATTATTATTATACTTTGACAAAAAATGTGAGCCTTTTAATCATTGTGCCACAACTAAAAAAAAATCGGAGGAAGTGTGAAACCTGAAGCCACCGCTCTGAAAATTTTCCCAAATTACATATCTTAATCAAACTTCCTTCCCTGATCATGTGACCAGAAAACCCTTACGCTTACCTTAACTATGCTGCCACCCCTTCTCCACTCCCATCAACCCCACCAGCAAACCATCACCCTTGCTGCCATCAATCACCATTGCAACCACTAAAACCCGCAGAAACTACCACTGCTTAAAACCACACATACCACTGAAAACAACCTCAAAACAATATAACATCAAGTAGCTTATAGCAAATGATTAAAGGAGGCTCTAAACATAAAAAACAACAATGTACTTTAGGCTTAAGGGTAGTTAGTTAAGTTTGCAAACCAAACAAAAGTAAAATCAAGGATGTAAGAGAAAGAAAATATAAAGAAGAGAAATACGAAATACTGAGAAGGTGTACCTCAACTCTTGAGTGACAATAGCGCTCAATGACACCTCTAGTCATCGACATAGTTTTGACCACATGCCATGCTATCGTCAAATTCTCCACCACCAATTTCATTTTCGTTTCAAAAAGGAACTTATTTATGCCAGGGTAATAACATATCTCATGCAGGTATGATGCATTTCTTAACCCCTGACATATGTGTTGCCCAACTGGGGTAGTCTCTAGGTCCCCCTCAGCAGACGAGACCATGAGCTTATCCCAAGCAACCAACAATAATACAGCATATTGATGGGCAGAACCACGATTTATCAAATCAATGCAAAAATCCTTGACTTCATGACTATGTGACGCCAGCAGTCTGATAGTATCAATGGATTCTTTCTGCCAAGCATATGACTAAGTCAAAGCAGGAACTTTATTTACAAGAGTGGTAAATAAAAGACCGGAAAGAACAATAAAAGTAGATGAGCAGAAAAAGTAGAAAAGCTTGGGGATGGATTTTTCATCAATGCAACCCTCTTCAAAACATTTATGCCTTCTGTGACATTGAAAACACAAAGCCAAGAGTAAATCTCCTAAAAGTCAAATAAAGAAACCATGAAACAGGAAGGTTTGGGAACGAGGCACACAACTGAATGCAGATACCGCATTCCAAAGTGGGGTTCCAGAAAAAGCAAAAGAAAGATCAGCGTCAGCTCCATGATCTAAAAGAACCTTAGTCAGGCCATAAGATAAGTTCCTAGCCGCCATGATCAAAGGGGAGTCTCCCGTATCAAATTTCAAATTTATATCCACATCGAGTCCAGATTCAAGCAGTGCAGTAGTACAAGCAGGAGCAGAATACTGGCAGATAAACTGGAAAACCTTAACTGGAGAATACTTTTGCACCAACTCACGGTTGGCTATCAGGAAAGAGGCAAATTGATCCTTGTCGTCGATACCAATAAGCCTTTTGATTTCAGTCAATAAGTTGTAATATGGAACAAGGAAAGCAGCCTCTTCTTCTTCAAGTAATTTAGGAGTAACATCAAACCGAACCGTGAAACCGCCCGTTACCGAACCGAACCATCACAGACCGATCCGTTTATAAACCGATAAATATAAACCGAAAACCGAACTGAACCGTTCAATATCAAACCGAAACCGAATTGAACCGCTCAATGTCAACCCGTTACGGACCGTAAACCGATAACAAACCAAACTGCGCAAATCCGAACCGAAACGAAACCGAACCGAATGGTTTATAAACCCGTTAATGACCCGAACCGTTTATAAACCGAAACCGTTTAAACCGAAAAAAAAACCGTTTAAACCGAACCATTTGTAACCCGCTAACCGTTTAAACCGACCCGTTTATGAACCGAAACCGTTTAAACCGCACGTATAAACCGAACCGTTATAATCCGCTAACCGTCTAAACTGAACTACCATAACCCGTTAAACCGTTAAAATCGAACTGTTTTCGAATCGCAACCTGTTTAAACTGATCCGATTACAAACTGCTTAACTCAAATTGAATTATTTACAACCTAAATGGCTAAATAGTAAATACAATTAATATTAATAAATGTAGATCTAATCAAACGGCTTAGGTTTATACAAAGGTTTATATCACCTAGATCTAGGCCAACGGCATTATTAATATCGTTTTAGATTACTTATTTATTTTAATTACAAGATATATCATTTGTATCATTTTCATTCCAATAATAATGCTAGTCCACCCAAATTATCTTCATTGTTCCTTGATATTCATGATCATCCAATAACACTCAAAGCCTCAAAGGTAACATAAGATTGGAGATGTATGAGATTGCGTTACACAAGTGGCATAAGCATTAGAATATTATTGTACTAGTCAATAAGGCGTACAATCATTCACATTATCACTTTATAAAACTTTCTTATACAAGTATTTTGTAAAGGGGAGGACTAAAATGTTTATAAAACACATTTTTTTAGCTTTTCTTATATTAAACCAGATATTAAGTAAAACAATTTTAATAAATACGGAGGCATCCCAACTCTGTAGCCACAATTATTTCATAACATTACCACAAATCCAGCAGATAAATAGCATTGAAATTAGAGTAATATCAACAAGCAATTAAAAAAGTCACCATTTTCATTGATTAAAATTCACAATACATATACCAATACATAATGAAACTACTATCACTACTACCCAGATTAGATTTCAGATTTATCAACTGAAACATCATCAAGTTTAGGGTTGCAAAAAATGATACATTATAAGATGAAGGGAGGAGTGAGAATGTGAGTGATTTGGGAGCAGAATCTTGAAGCAGAATCTTGAAGCAGCAGCACAGCACCCAAGAGCAAAGGAAATAGCAGCAACAAGCAGGAACCAGCACACGGAATAACAGATCAGCAACTTATCAGAAGCAAGGAATAATATAAGCAGAAGGGACTCAGCAGGAACTTATTTTTGTTTTTCAAAATTGCTCTCAGATTTACGTTTATCGTATCATCACTGAGCAATGGCTGTTTTAACTCAAAACTTGAAAAATGCTGCCAGCAAGTACATATACATTGAAGTCTCAACATAAATGACAAGGGCAACGATGATTCAAGAAAAATTAAAACAGCAAGCATAAGAAACAGCAGCAACAAAACTTATCATAAATTCATAACACAAAAGGCAGCAACACAGCACCTCAAGCTGGCAGGAGGCAGGAACCAGCTCATGCAGGCAACAATATAGGCAATAACAACTCAGCAGAGACAACAACCAAAAGGAAAAAGCACTACCAGCAGGCAGCAGCTCATAACAAGTTCAAGCAACTTCAAAATTATAGCTTTTGTTTTTTTTAAATTGCTCTCAGATTTACATCACTGAGCAATGGTTGTTTTAACAAAAACTTAAGAAATGCTGCCAGCAAGTACCAAAATACATTTAACTATTTAAGTCTCAACATAAATGACAAGGGCAACGATTTTAAAAGTCTTGAAAAATGCTGTCAGCAAGTCTAAAAATAATTGACAAGGGCAACGATTTTAAAAGTCTTGAAAAATGCTGCCAGCAAGTCTGAAAATAAATGACAAGGGCAACGATTTTTCAAGATAAAATAAACCACAATGAGATACAAATACCAGTTATGCAGATGAAGCACTTTCGGCTTCAATCTCTTTACCAATAAGGAGGACGTCTTCCTCAACATCCGCTTGATAACCACGGCACCAATTTTGGGTGGTAACCAATGCCTCAACATTCTTTGGCAAAAGTTTACCCCTATATCCTCAAAAAGAAAAAAGCATACATAAGAAAAGCTTAAACTTTTTCAAAAGTTTCCAATGAAATTATGAACCTATAAATAAACATGAGATGTTTATTTTACTAGCCCTAAACTAGCATTTATTTTATGCACATAACTGCAGAAAGTGACACAATTTGGTCTTTTGTTAGGTAAAAAATCCAATAACCACATAATCTGAACAACCCATCATCATTACTTTTAAATCGAGCATAATAAACAACAAAACAGCACAAATCTACCATTTTCCCGTAAAAAACAAAAATACAATCAACAACAGATTTTAGGCATATTTCGACTATATTCAAGCAAGAACAACAACCATAATCAAATACAAAAACAGAAAAACTGTATTAAAAAAAACGAAAAGGAAAAAGTAATTACCTTTGACGGCTTGAAGGAGATTTGAAGATGGAGAACTGCCTGAACTGGAGATCAAAAGAAAAAATCAAGAATGTAGATTATCAGAACTTGAAATAAAAAAAAACCGAAACGAAAACGAAAAAAATCGAAAAAAATTAACAAAAAATTACCTTGAGGTTTGACGGCT